CCCCGCCACAAAGGAAAAGCTCACACTCAAGCCCCGCCCCCAGAGGTACAGTTCACACTCAGGCCCCGCCCCCAGAGGAACAGCTCGCACTCTGGCCCCACCCCAAAGGAAAAGCTCACACTCAAGCCCCACCCCCAGAGGCGCAGCTCACTCAGGCCCCGCCCCCAGAGGAACAGCTCACACTCTGGCCCCACCCCAAAGGAAAAGCTCACACTCAAGCCCCGCCCCCAGAGGCGCAGCTCACACTCAGGCCCCACCCCCAGAGGAACAGCTCACACTCTGGCCCCACCTCCAGAAGTGAGATTGGCATTCAGACCACACCCTCAGAGGAATAGCTCACACTCAGGCCCTTCCTCCAAGAGTGGCATACCCTCAGGCCCCGACCTCAGAGGAACAGCTCACACTCAGGCCCTGCCCCAAAGGAAAAGCTCACACTCAAGCCCCGCACCCAGAGGCGCAGCTCACACTCAGGCCCCGCCTCCAGAAGTGAGGTTGACATTCAGGCCTCATCCCCAGAGGCGCAGCTCATGCTCAGGCCCCGCCCCCAGAGATGCTGGTCTTCGGCTCTCAGTCCCGCCCTCAGCTGTGCCACGGCAGCCTGCTGTCCCTTATCCACCTGGCGGTCCTCACCTGCAGGCCCAGCTCCAGCGCGATGCCCAGCAGTGTGATGTCCGGAGGCACGCTGGCTGGGGTGGCCGTCTTGCAGGCGTCCTGCGCCAGCTTGAAGAGCAGGGCTGGAGAGTGGATGTTCTGCTGGATGGAGCCCAGCACCGCGTGCAGCCACTTGGGGTCTCCTGGGTGAAGGACGAACAGAGGACACCGCTGGGCACACCCCAGCAGCAGTGTCTGCAGCTGCCCAACCTGTTCATGCGGGTCCCTCCTCCCAGGACACATGTGTGAGTGTGAAGGAAGACACCAGGCAATGGTTCCATGATGATTCAGACCCTCCCTGTCCCCCCACCTGCTGGTTATTTCCTCTGCCTCCCTGTCCGGTTACAGTGGGAGGAGGCCACCTAGGGACCCGCTGGACCCCTCCTCATCAATGGCATCAAGTCTGGACCCAGAATGCCAGGGTTCAAATTTCTGTCCTGCCATGCACTTGCTGTGTGACCCTGAGCAAGCCACTTCACCTCTCTGTGCTTCGGCTGCCCCATCTGTAAAATGGGTAATACTAAGGCAATGGAACCCATCTCAGGGCTGTGGCAAGCCCATACTTGGAAAAGTCTTAACGTGGCAAAAAGCCAGACAAGTGTTCGATTTTATTACTATCATTATCACTGGTCCAGAGCCTGTTGTCCCCCACCCCCTGCTCTAGTCATGCCAGCCTCCTCTCTCTTCCTCATGACAGGAACCATCTAGCTTCAGAGCCTTTGTACTGGCGGTTCCCTCTGCCTAGAATGCTCTTCCTCCACTCCCCCAAAATCACACTTGAAAGCTCTGTCCCCCAGTGTGATATGTGGAGATAGGTTGGGCCTTTGAGAGATAATTAGGTTTAGATGAGGTCAGGAGGGTGGGGCCCTTATGAGAGGATGAATGCCCTTATAACACAAGATACCAGCGAACTTGAACTTGCTCTCTCTCCTCCCTCTCCCTTTCCTTATTTATTTATTTTTTATTTTTTTGAGTTGGAATCTCACTCTGTCCCCCAGACTCGAGTGCAGTGGCCGCTCCCGGCCACCGCAGCCTCGACCCGCTGGGCTCCGGCAATCCTTCCGCCTCAGCCTTCCGAGTAGCCAGAATTACAGGCATGCGCTACCACGACCGGCTGATTTTTTGATTTATTGTAGAGATGAGGTCTCGCTGCCCAGGCGGGTCTCGAACCTGCGGGCTCAGGCAATCCACTCACCTCAGCCTCCCAAAGGCATGGGATTACAGGCTGAGCCACCAAGCCCAGCTTTATTTATTTTTTTGAGTAGGAGTCTCTCTGTTACTCAGGCTGCAGAGCAGGGACATGCTCATGGCCACCGCAGCCTAGACCTGTTGGGCTCAGGCAATCCTTCCGCCTCAGCCTTCCATAGCTGGAACTACAGGTGTCTGCTACCACGCCTGGCTAATTTTTGAAAAATTTATTGTAGAGATGAGGTCTCCCCAAGTTGCCCAGGCTGGTCTCGAACCCCTGAGCTCAGGCAATCCTCTCATCTCGGCCTCCCAAAGTGCTGGGATGACAGCCCTGAGCCACGGCACCGTGCCCTTCTCCCTTTTCTCTTTCCTCTCTCTCTCTCTCTCCCCCCCCTCCCACCCATCATAAATGAACACTGCAGGAAGGCAGCCTCCTGCAGGCCAGAGAGCCCTCCCTCATCAGGTGCTGGCCCCTAGTCTGACTTCAAGCCTCCAGAACTTGAGAAAAGCCATTCTGTCATTTAAGTCACCCCGCCTCTGGTATTTTGTGATGGCCGCCCAAGCTAAGATGCCAGGTACCCGCATGGCTCTGCCATCCCCTTCCAGCCTTCCCTCAAGTGTCCACCTGCTTTATTCCCTCCTGCACCGCCGTCTTCTCCTACTAGCACGTCAGTAGCCATAGCCGGGGATCTGGGACAGTTTGTCACCTGTTGCACCCCCAAGTACCCAGGGCAGTGCCTGGTACCTCTCGAAGTTGCTTGGAAAATACCGGTGGAATTTGGCAGACGGATAAGAGGAGGCAGGAAAGACAGAGGGAAAGAGGAAGGAGAAGGCAGAGACAAGGACGGGGTGGCCATCCTCACCCTTGGCGGCTGTCAGCATGGTGGAGGCCAGTTCGCACTGGCGGGTCTCCAGGTGGCCGAGGATGAACCAGCGGGGGAAGCGGTTGCTCATGATGGAGTCCAGAGGGTTGGGGGTAGGGTCTCCAGCCGGAAACGCCGTCTCCAGGACGGGCAGCCTGGGGTGGGGGAGAAGCAAGTCCATGGAGAGGCGGGCTGCTGCCTCCAGACTCTCCAGGAGAGAGAGGCCTCCTGTCCTAGCCTCTGCTCGCGGGTGAGCGAGCCAAGGAGATAGAGGAAGCACATGTGAGATGTCCCCTGCAGTGCTGTTTAGAAGCGGGGTAGAGAACTATGTGGATCACCCAGGAGTTGGCTAAACAGGCCATGATCCAGTCTCTCACCGGGAGCCACGTCGTGCCTGATAAAGGAGTGAGGGGTTCCTTGTGTCCTCACATCACCCCCATTGAGTCCCTCCATGACGCCCCTCCCTCTTGCTGGCTCTGCTCCCGCCCCTGTTCCCCTCAATGGCCCCAACACACCAGGCGCAGTCCCACCTCAGGGCCTTTGCACGGGCTGTTCCTTCTGCCTGGAACACTCATCTCCCATCTCCTGGCAGCTCCTCACTCACCTGCTTTGGTCTTTGCTCCAGCGCTTTTCAGTGGGGGCTTCCCTGGCATCCCCCACCACACATGAAACTGCAACTTCACCCTCTCCCCTGTTCTCCTTTCCCCAGCAAATGTAGCACCGTCTGACATGCAATACCATTTACCTATTCATTTATTTACTGTCTCTCCCTCACTAAAACGTCGGTTCCATGAAGGCAGGATTCTTGAATATTTTATTTTTTTCACTACAGCAGCTGGAACAGCTCCTGGCACACAGTAGGTGAACAGCTAATGTTTGTTGAATGACTCAATGTCCCCACCAAAATATGTGAGTGTGAATGTGTAGTTTTTGTTTTTTTTCTTTCTTTCTTTGAGACAGGGTCTCGCTTTGTTGCGCAGGTTAGAATGCAGCGGTGTGATCACAGCTCACTGCAGCCTCGAACTCCTGGGCTCAAGCGATCCTCCCACCTTAGCATCCAGCATAACTGGGACTACAGGTATAAGCCACCAAACAAGCTAACTTTTTTTCATTTTTGTAAAGACAAGATCTCCCTATGTTGCCCAGGCAGGTCTTGAACTTCTGGCCTCAAGTGATTCTCCTGCCTCAGCCTCCTGGTAAGGCATATTGCAAGTGGCTCATCATAGATGAAGTTTTGTGTTTTTGTTTTCTTTTGTTTTGTTTTTGTCTGAGTCTCATTCTGTCGTCCAAGCTGAAATGCAGTAGCACACTCACAGCTACTGCAGCCTCAACCTGCCTGGGCTCAGGGGATCCTTCTGCTCAACCTTCCATGTAGCTGGAATCACAGGCATGCACCACCATGCCCAGCTAATTTTTCTTGATTTATTGTAGAAACGAGGTCTTGCCAAGTTGCCCTAGCTGGTCTTGAACCCCTAGACTCAGGCAGTCCTCTCACCTCTGTCTCCCAAAGTGCTGGGATGACAGGCGTGAGCCACTGCACTTGGCTGTATTTTGAAAGTTAATTAAAGTTGCCAGATGTGATTAAACAGCATGGACAATTCCTGTTCCAAATAGTACCCAAATGTCCTTGCTATGGAACTTTTGGGCACTAGAAACCATCTCAAGGCTAGTTTTTCATGTGGAAAATGAGAATACTGAAAATATACCTATTTTGCCAGGTTGTTCTGAAGATTAGATGCAGTCCTGAGTCATGGAGTTAGACTGGCGGTCAGCAGCTTTTTCCTGCAAGGGGCTGGAAGCCAATCTGTTGGCTTTGCCAGCGACTTGGTCTCTATGGTCAAGACTTAATTCTGCCATTGATGTGCAAAAATGCCCCAGACAATTCACAGATGAACGGATATGGCTCTAGGCCAATGAAACCATTTCTGGACACCGAGACTCGAATTTCATATACTTTTCTTGGGTCACAAAATATTCTTTTGAGTTTTTCAACCATTAAAAAATATAAAAACTATTGTATCTCGTGGGCTATACAAAAACAGGTGGTGGGGCCAGGCACAGTACACTTTGGGAGGCTAAGGTGGGAAGACTGCTTGAGCCCAGGAGTTCGAGACCAGCCTGGGCAACACAGTGAGACTCTGTCTCTACAAAAATACAAAAAATTAGCCAGGCTTGGGGGCATAGGCCTATAGTTACAGCTGCTCAGGATGCTGGGGCAGAAGGATCACCTGAGTCTAGGAGGTCAAGGCTGAGGTGAGCTATGATCGTGCTACTGCATTCCAGCCAGGGTGACACAGTGAGATGCTGACTCAAAAAAAAAAACAAAACCCACCAAAATAATATTACACATTTCTAGTTAATATTGAAAAGCACATGGCAGAGTTGTTTACCAAGGTGAGGGCGACTGAATTAGCCAGGCTGTGAGTTCAGGCTGTAGGGTGGGGTTCTGAACCTCCCTCCCATGCCCCTCTCACCCCCAACCCCACCCTGGCCCTGTCCCCAGCCTTCTGTCCTCACCTCATGGCTCGGAGTGCCAGGCGATAGGCCAGGTCGGGGTCATGAGGCAGCAGCGCGGTGAAACAGTAGCGGGCACAGGTGTGCATGGGCACGCTCTCCCGGAACAGCACCTCTCCGAAGCCGCTGAAGGGACCCCCTGCAGGGAGAGCCCAAGCTCAGCTCCCAGGTGCGGACTCGCCCAGGCCTCCTAAGACCCCAGGCTCCAAGTGGAGCATGGGGTGGCCCCAGGAGAAGTGACTGAGGCCTGGGAGGTCCCGGCGTTAGGGGCTCAGGGTTGAGACTGAGACAAGTGCAGGGTAACTTGTCCAGGTAATGGGAAACGCTGGGCACCCCTGGGTGGGGAGCAGGACTCAGAGGCAAGGTGAGGCCAGAGGGGGGAGATGGGGCTGCATCTGCCCCTGGGAGGAAGATCGATGACCCAGGACCCGCAAGGTCCAGTGGCACAGAGGGCCCCGGCGAGGGGCGGCGCCCGCTTGGTGGTCGAGGGCGGGTTGGCCTCGCTGCAGCCTCCTCAACTAGGCTCACTGGCTCCAAGGGGCAGGGGGCGGGGCCTCACACTCGCAGCAGTGATTGGCTGGAGTTCACAATAGGAGCCGGGACCAACACCTGGCTCTCACCCTGTAGGAACCGCCAAGGTATGAGCGGACGCTTAGGGCGGGAGGCGAGGACGGGGGCAGGACCCTACCCGGCGATCGGCCGGGATAGGGGCGGGGCCTCACCTTCCAGCAGCAGCCCCGCCTGCTTGCGCAGCACCTGCACCAGGCGCTCATCCAAATCCACCTCCTCCAGCAGGACCAGCAGCTGCTCCTCGTTGCGCACCACCTTGTCCTGGGCGTACAGCCCCTCCGGCAGGGCCCGCTGCTGTCCCAGCCCCAGCAGGGCCACCTCCAGCGCCAGGGCCAAGTAGGACTCCCCAGGGCTCCCGGGCACGGGCACGTGCTGGTAGGCCGCCTTCCGCTTCTCAGGGCCTGAGTCTGGAGACAGCACCAGGGCTGTTGGAGGCGGATCCCTTCCGAGGACCCCGTGGCCCTTGGCTCTGAGCGTGAGGACTGGGGGCGGGGTGGGCTTTAAAGAAAGCCCAGAGGCTCCCAGCACTCGCCAGAGCCCCGCCTCCTAGCAGCAGCCAGGCCTAGGGTTGCCTCACTTTCAGGAAAAGCTAAACCTACAGGCACCAGGCGGGAGGCCTGGCCCAGGGTAACGGGGCGGAGCCACCTCTAGGGATACGGGGCAGGGGGCGTGGCCAGTGGCAGGGGCGGAGTCGCTTCCAGGGATTCGGGGCTGGGGGCGTGGCCCCGGGGTAAAGGGGTGGGGTCATTTCTGGAGAAACAGGGCAGGGGGCGTGGCCAAGGGGTGAGACTGTCCCACCTCCTCCCGGTGTCCCCGTTTGGATACCTGGGTAAAGGGCGAGGGTCTCCTCCTCCAGGCGACAGGCCTCCAGGAGCGCCCTGCAGAGGCAGCCAATGGGGTCCAGGGGGTGGCCCACCCATCCTTCCGTGTTGGTGATGCAGGTGGAACCTTTCTGAAGCAGCTCTGTCGGCAGAAAGAGGGGGCTCAATGACTGCCCACTTGCCCAAGCCTCTAAGGGGTGTTCCTCTCCCTGGCCCCCAGTGCAGCCCAGCCCAGCCTCCTGGTGCCCACTCCCTGTCCACCGGGTGGCCATTTTCTCTGCTCTGTAATGCTCATCAAACTCATGCCTGGCAGGGCACAGGTACAACACTGAGCGCTTTCTTTTTATTTATTTATTTCACTCTGTCACCAGGCTAGAGTGCAGTGGCACGATCACTGCTCATTGCAGCCCTGACATCCTGGGCTTAGATGAGCCTCCTGCCTCAGCCTCCCGACGACAGGCGCATGCCACCATGCCCAGCTACTTTTTGTAATTTTTACAGACATGACGTCGCACTATTTGGTCATGCCCATCTTCCAAGTCAGGCACGCTCTTGCCTCTGGGCTCCTGACTGTGTCGCTTCTTTGGCTCAGAACACTCTTCCTCCCTCCACTCCTCCTGGGTTAACTCTGATACATCCTTAAGTTCTCAGCTTAGCTCTCACATGAGGGCCTCTTCCTGATGCTGCCAAGCCTGGTCAGAGCTCTGTTAAGGGTTCCAATGCCCCCACATTTCCTCTGTGACATGCTGTCCGTTCGGTTTCCTGATAGCTGATCTATCAGCCGCATGACCCAGAGAAACAAATGGTGGCCTCCCTCCTGTTCCCCATATTTCATCTACAAATGTGGGTTTTTGGGTTTTTTTAAATTTTTTTGAGTTGGAGTCTCACTCTGTCGCCCATGGCACGCTCCCGGCCACCGCAGCCTCGACCTGCTGGGCTCTGGCCATCCTTCTGCCTCAGCCTTCCGAGTAGCCGGAACTACAGGCGCGCACTACTACGCCCGGCTAATTTTTTGATTTATTGTAGAGATGAGGTCGCGCCAAGTTGCCCGGGCGGGTCTCGAACCCGCGGGCTCAGGCAATCCACTCACCTCAGCCTCCCAAAGCATGGGATTACAGGCTGAGCCACCAAGCCTGGCTTTTTTTGTTTTTTTAGACAGTGTTTTACTGTTGCCCAGGCTGGAATACAGTGGCATGATCATAGTTCACATCAGGCTTGACCTCCTGGGTTCAAGCAGTCTTCCTACTTCAGCCTCCCAAGTAGCTGGGACTACAGGTACATCCCACCTGACTAATGGTTCTATTTTTTTGTAGAGAAGAGATCTAGCCATGTTGCCCAGGCTATTCTCAGACTCCTGGCGATCCCCCTGCTTTTGCCTCCCAAAGTGCTGGGATTGTAGGTGTGAGCCACCATGCCCAGCTCAGTGAGTTTTCTTTAAACACAAATTTGAATTTGTGGCTCATGTTTAAAAATCAGTGAATTCCACATCAAATAATCCAGATTTCTGGCCTGTCTTGAAAAACCAGAAGGCCAGGCCACATTGAATCCACATTCCTTAAGGGCATGTGCCTGGCACCCGTCCCCCCACTGCAGGGGCTAAAAGCTTAGACACTACATTTCCCAGACTCCTTTGCATGAGAAACGGAAGCTGTACCAGCTGTGAGCAGGTGTGTGGTGGGCCACAGGGTACAGACAGGTTTGCTAGTGGATTCTGAGTATTCTCTTGGGAGCGGCCCCACTACGTAAAGTTTGTTATGATCCCTACATTTTTGGGATCTTGAATCTGAGCAGAGACTTCCCCAATGACCCCTGTGCTTTTTTCTGAAGAGACGGCATCCATGTCACCCAGGCTGGACTCCCTCCTCAGCCTCCCAAAGTGCTGGGATTACAGGCATGAGCCTCTGCACTTGGCTGACTTCCCAAACTTTCAGTCCCACAGCTCTTCCAATGGTTTTATGAGCCCTCAATTCCCTGCATTAAATTCCTTTCTGGTTGAGACACCTAGGGTGGTTCTGTTTTCCTGGTGGGACCCTGACTGGTACCCACAGACTCTCTCCAGTTGGCCATGGCTCCTGGTGACTGGCATTTGTGTCTGCAGCCCCCAGGACAGGATGGCGGTATCAGTGCTCACCTTTTTTCTGCTGCTTATAGCTCTCAAGTTGGTGCCGCCGCTGCAGCCGGAGTGTGTTGACAATGGCACCAGCCAGCCGCAGGGCCTGGCGGGGGTACCCGTGGGCACGCAGGGTGTCCACACGGGCACAGGCGGTGGGAAAAGGTTCACCCAGCCAGAGGGGGCGGCCCTGGGAGTCGAAGGTCGGCTTGTCGCCGCCCATGCTGCTGCCTGTGAGGCTGGGGCCATAGGAGTCGCTGGCCAGGATCCTCTGCAGGTGGGCGTCACTCCAGTGCAGCTGTCCAGCCCGCAGGGCACGGCCAAACACCGTGTGGCGGGAACTGGTGGCTGCCACCACCAACTCCTCTTCTTCCTCCTCCTCCGAGCCTGCAGGAGAGAATCCCAGCAGGCACTGACCTGGGGTTTGGCCCTAGGCCAATGGGCAAAACTCATCTCCCCAGTCCTCAGCGCAGCCCTTCGAGATGCATGCGCGTGTGTCAGGGGCTATTACAGCCCCACTGTACAGATGGAAAACTGAGGCTGAGGAAACTATTTCTCCACCCTCCTGCTGTTTTTCTTTCCCTCTTTCCTCAAGCTCTCTCTTGTCCCTCCTGTTGACTCCTTTGCCTGCTGGCCTCTCTGTCCCTTTCTCCCTCCTTACTTGTCTCTCTTGTCTTGATACCTTACTCACCCCTTCCGATTCCTCCCCCTTTCTTTTTCTCTGCTGCCATAGCTTATAGGAGGCTGAGCCAGGAGACCATCCCAGGACTGCAATTGTCTTGCATATTTTTAAAAATGCAGATGGGTCTCACTGTTGCCCAGGCTGGCCACTTCACTCCCCCTAGGGTTGCTATTGCTCCTGCCCTCAGCACGCACTCCCTCCTGGATGGGAGGGCAGGCGAGGGCTAGGAAGCCTTTGCTCTCCCCCACTCCCTCTCTCTCCTCGGCCAGAGCACCATGATGGGAAGTGGGGCCGCAGTCAGTGGTGATGGCTTTGAGGGACGTGGGAGGGACCCCTCTCCTACCTGGGTTGGGGACCGTAGGGGGCTGCAGGCTGGGGCCGTCAAAGGAGTAGTTGCCCTCTTCCAGCGGGCACGTGTCGAGCTTGTCCCACTTGCCAAGCAGCTGGAGCCAGCCTGCCCGTTCCTCTGGCTTGCAGTGGGGGCTCAGGATGACACAGACCCACAGGGCTCCTGAGGAAGCATGGGCAGGCTCAGCAGCCAGGCCAACAGCAGCCGCACATGCTTCTGGAGGCTTCTGTGTGCCGGGCACAGCTCTGCTGAATTCCCACCTCGACCCTCTGGAGGTTGTCACTCTGAGCCTTTCGCTTTACAGGGAAAAAAACTGAGGCACAGAGAGGTAACGCCACTTATCCAAGGTCACATAGCAGGTAAGTCAGAAGTTGGGACTCCAGCCTGGGCTGCCAGATTCCTCCCGAGTTTATTTTTATCTTTGAGACAGGGTCTCACTCTGTCCCCAGGGTCTCACTCTGTCCCCAGGGTTGGAGTGCAGTGGTTCCATCAGCGCTCACTACAGCCTCCAACTCCTGGGCTCAAATGATTCTCCCTCCTCAGCCTCCCAAAGCACTGAGAATACAGGCATGAGCCACTCTGCTGGGCCTATTTTACATTTTTACATGGTGGGGGGAAAAAACTCAAAAGAATATTTTTGCGACTCAAGGAAATAATATGAAATTCAGATAAATAAATAAATATAGCATCCATAATAAAGATCTTTTTCTTTTTCGAGATAGGGTCTCACCCTGTTGCCCAGGCTGGAGTGCAGTGGCACGATCGTAGCTCACCACAGACGCAACCTCCTGGGCTCAAGCAAATCCTCCTGCCTCAGCTTCTCAAGTAGTTGGGATTACAGGCACACACCACCCGGCTCTTAAATACAGTTTTCCTGGAATGCCACCATGCCTACTTGGTTATGTGTCTGTGGCTGCTTTTTCTACCACAGTGGGCAGAGCTGGAGTCTTGACAGAGACCCAGTGGCCTGTAAAGCTGGAAATATGGACTCCCTGGTCCTTACGGAAAGTGTGTATGGATCCTGAGCCGAGGATATCTTCCCACCCGCCTCCTGCCAGACATCAGCTCTGTGGGACAGGAGCTTGTCTCCTGCGCTCTGAGCGGGAGCACCAGGGCCTCCAGTCGTGCCTGGCACGTGGGGGGTGCTCACGTTTGTCACATGAATGGAGGGAGGTTCGGGGCTGACCCGCGGGAGCCAGCACCCGGTATCTACCACGCACTGGAGTGTGGGCCTCACCCAGCTCGTCCCAGAGCTGCCGGCACTTGTCGGTCATGCCGGCGCCCTGCTGCCGCCACAGGGCCAGGCGCGGGTCCTGCAGGAACTGCTCGGTCATGAGGATCAGCATGCGCGCCCCGTTGGAGTCCCGCATCCGCAGCATCTCCCGCACCTGTGCCAGGACAGGAGGGTGAGGCAGGGCGGGCGGGCGCCCGCCGCGGCCCCCCGGGGCCCTC